ATTTTATCCCTAGATTTATTCTCTCTCTCTCTCTCTCTCTCTCTCTCTCTCTCTCTCTCTCTCTCTCTCTCTGCTGTGATCCACAGACAAACAAGAGTGAGACGATCAGACAGACGCGAGTAATCGAAGAGACATTCAGCCTGCAATTATGTGTGTGTGCATCACCCTAATAAAGCTCAGTGAACGTGTGCATGCAGCATGACATCACTGTCTGCAATCTCACACACACACACACACACGCTCTCTCTCACACAGAAACTTTTTGTTCTACTGTAAAGGAATCGTATCGTCACGTTGACTCTTGAATCATTTGATTTGTTCAAACGGACTGATTCATTAAGGAAAGATCCAGTGAGCGATTCTTTTATGGATGTGTAATTGAATCATTCGCTCAGCCAATTTTCGATGGCAATACAGAGGCGGACACATGTAACTCGTTTAATATTAACTTCTTGTTTTTGTATAAAATCAGTGTCACTCTTGCAATCGTGCTGATATTCGCAAAAACGGCTCTCGCTTTCCTGGTCTAATGTTGTTTATCTTCGCAATGAAGTTTATAGAATATTAGAATATTATCAAACAAGAAACTTCATGTCTGAGTGATCGCCTGTCCAAAAAAAAGTGTGTTTCGGCGGAGATTAATATAAAAGCATCTTTAGTTGAGGAATCAACAACCCATCAAAAGATTGCAAAAATAAAACTGTGTCCAAATAAATAAAAATGCAACATAAATAGCTGTCAATCACAGCGATGACCTCAGCCATTCACAAACCAAAACACACTAAAGTAATTACAAAAATAAGGAAATATTTCCTGCCACATGTGGAAGTTTTGTAATAATCAGGCCTTTGTGTGTGTGTGTGTGTGTGTGTGTGTGTGTGTGTGTGCGTGCGTGCGCGTGGTGTGTGTGTGTGTGTGTGTGTGTGTGTGTGTGGGTGTGTGTGTGTGTGTGTGTGTGTGTGTGTGTGTTGTGTGTGTGTGTGTGTGTGTGTGTGTGTGAGACATTTGGTAACACTTTAGAATACGGTTCCTTCGTTAATGAATAACTACACAAGAACTAATGAGTAACACAATATTAACAATCTAGTAACTATTATATAACAAGAAACTCTGATTAACGATCTAGTAAGTAATAGCGCACAGACGAAAGTGGTAGTTCACTATTAAGTAATCAATAACTACTATTTTTTAATACTTCCCAGAGAACTACTGAAAAAGTTTATTAACAATCTAGTGACTACTATTAACTAAAAGAAACTCTTATTAACGAATTAGTAAGTAATACTCACAGATAAAGTGTTACTAAATTACTAATTATTTGATTCGTATTATAAAGTGAAGATCATTGGAACTAACTAGTAATTACTTCAAAGTGTTAGTAAAGACATTTTCTAAAAGTATACTAAAGTTCACCAAAAATCAAACATTTGCACAAATCATGACTAGATCATGTAGTAACACTTGAGTCATTACTAGTTAGTTCCAATGATCTTCACTTTATAATACGAATCCAAATAATTAGTAATTTCCCACAGAAGTATCTAGTACAACTTTCATCTGTGAGCTATTACTCACGTAATTCGTTAATAAGAGTTCTTTTAGTTAAAAGTAGTTACAAGATTGTTAAATAAACTTTTTCAGTAGTTCTCTGGGAAGTATTAAAAATAGTAAGTTATTGATTACTTAATATGTGAACTACCAACTTTCGTCTGTGCGCTATTACTTACTAGATCGTTAATCAGAGTTTCTTGTTAATAATAGTTACTAGATTGTTAATATTGTGTTACTCATTAGTTCTTGTGTAGTTATTCATTAACGAAGGAACCGTATTCTAAAGTGTTACCAGACATTTGTATACACACACTGGTATTACAACGCGAGTGTGATTTATGAGGACATTTCCTGACTCCTAATATGATATATGAGTTTTAAATATGAGTCCCTGTATTTAAAATGGCTTTTAACAGTGTTATAAAAATGCATAGTGTTCTGTGACGGGTAGGTTTAGGGGTTGTGTGTGTGTGTGTGTGTGTGTGTGTGTGTGTGTGTGTGTGTGTGTGTTTGAACAGGAAACCTTCACTATATTTCATCTGCTAGAGTGACAGACGAAGAGTGTGTCAGATTCAGATATCAGCCGAGTCTCTCACCGCACACGGGCCGTTGAACGAATCCTCACGGGCGCTCGGTTATCTGATAACACACACACACACACACACACACACACTGAGCTAACTGAAAACACAGATATCACACACTGCTTTACATGAGGCTCTTCATAATGATGACCTTCACAAACCCTAGAGCTTTCATACATTCATTCAGTAATTGTTTGACGTGTTATTTTCTGTGTGTGTGTGTGTGTTTGTTTTGCTTGTGTTCAGGCAGAGGAACACGGTGGGTTTGTTTAGTCTCATAAACCTTAAAACGACCTAAACAGAAAGAAAAACAAGAGATGTTCAGATACTACAACAATCAGACAGACAGATAAGCAGGCGAGTGTGTGTCTCTGCTCACATGACTTTCATGTTTTCAGGTTTCTTGTGTTGAGGTTTTATACAGACACACACGCAGAAGCGTTGCGTTGGTTTAGACACACAGATTCACAGACGAATGAAACTCTTCTGAGCTAAAGGTCAAAGCGAACAGCGAAGTTAGCGGAGCGTCTGACCAGTTTTCTCAAAGCTATGAACACTTCTTCCAGTGACATTAATGAACATTCATTCAGTTATCACAAAACCTTATTTATGCATCGCTTATGAAACGGATTGCTTGGAAGTTTTCTAAACGTTGCTACTTGTTTCGGAGCATTTAGAGAACATAGAAAAGTAACATGTTAAATGATGAAAACAGAATAACTTTTAAAAAAAATACATTCAAAAATAAAATTTTTATAACATAATGTGAACATTAGCAAAACCTTGGAACATATTTTTGTTAGCTGTGAACAGAAAACGAACAACCAATCACACGGACACAACAGCTATACGTCACACACACACACACTAACACACGAACCATGAAATGAGCTGTTAATAGTACGGAGAAAAAGATAAAGGGAACCAGAAACAACGTGAGTTTCATCAAATGTGTTTGGCATGAGAATATCACACACCGAACCCATCACAAACCAACGTCCCACTCACACACAGCATTCAAGGGTGTGTTAAGAGCAAACAGAAATGTCTGAATAAGTAAACTCACGTGATTCTGAAGAAACATAGGAAATGACGTTTACCACGACTGACACCACAGCAGAGCCGATGCATTTACAATGCAAGTGTTTTCTAGAAGCTCCTTTCTTTAAAATCTGAATGTTTAAGTTGCACTTATGTGACCTCAAAGGTCAAACGGGATGCCCTTTACCCACGGCATCTAACCGTTGGTGATGCACATGACCTTTAGTCATTCAATATCATCTTTTAAATAGGAAAAAATGTGTGTTTTGACGGTAATAATCCTTTTTACCACACTTGGGGTTCCACAAGGCTCCGTCTTGGGACCAATTTTGTTTTCCCTTTATATAATGTTTTACCTGGAGCAGGTTAATATGTAAATATTCAGATTTATGCAGATGATTTAGTATTTTTAACCCATGCAAATCATTTTAAAGAAGCTTCTACTATGATGTTCTAAATGTTCAGGATTGGCTTATTTAATCAGATTTATTATTGAATATTAAACAAAAAAAAATGTGTATGATGTTTGCAAAGCAATTAGTAGAGATGAAACAGTAAAATGTATTCCTGAGAGGGAGGAGATTGGAAATGTTGAAGAGTTTCCATTTCTTGGGGTTACCTTGGATTATAGTTTAACGTTTGAAAGTCATGTAAAATGCTATCTTTAGCCGGTGCTGCCAGGTTGTGTTTACATTCAATTATTTTTTCACGTTTTTACAATTGTTTTAATGGTTGGTTATTCATAGGTGGCACAACCTTTAGGTTAATAGAAGACGATAAAAGTGTTCATGTTACACAACTAATGTTAAAAACGTCAAATATGCTTGTTTTATATATAAGGTCTGATATGGACTGGCTCCAGTAAATGAGTTTGTTAAACCGAGGTTGGTTTACATATTAAAGGCCCATCATTGTGAGGTTACATATAGGCCAACATCTTTTGAACAAAAAGTATTGTCTGTAATAGGAAGTAAATATTAAAAAAGTTTACCGTGGTCAATAAGACAATGTTCTCCTTTTCACCTTTAAAAATGTCAGTCATACTTTAGTTATCTTATTCTCACTATAAATGACTTTTGCCTTAATTAACTCCTAATTACTGCTTATTAATAGTTAGTAAGGTAGTATGTTTAGGATTTGAACATGATCATGCAGAATGAGACATTATTAGTATGTGCTTTATAAACAGTCAACATCCTAGTAATGTGCATGAGAATAAACAGCTAGTTAATAGTGAGAATTGTACCCTAAATTAAAGTGTTATACAAGTGTCTTATGACGAATCAGTAACTTAGAATTTGAAATAATGGGGTATTTGGTGGATGGTATTAAAAAATGGTGGGTTGTTTAACCCAATTTTGGGTCAAATATGGACAAACCCAAATATTGGGTTAAAAATGTAATGTAAAAATTTAACCCAACGTCTGGGTTTGTTCATGTTTGACCCAAAGTTGGATTAAAACAACCCAGCATTTTTTAGAGTTTGAGTATGTGTCTTTGTGTTGCGGATGTTAATTAGCAATGTTGCTCGTTTACATTTTGTATTTTATACTAAAGTTCATTAACATGCATTGGCCCTATCAAATAAATACACAAATGCAAAATAATATCATCTGAATTAGTAAAACCACCTATTTGGAAACACATGCCAACAACTGCAGAATTACAGGAAACAACCTCCTCGTTTACCACAATATATTAATGAAGTTCTGCAACCACATTAGAGCCAATGCATTTACGAGAAGAAGAAGTCTTTTCTAGTACTAGGTCCGACCTTTAAAATCAATTGTAATTTCTTTTAATGAAAGATATCTTGTGTTTTTTCCTTTCTTCATTTTGCATTATTTTCATGTTCACAATGTGACGCCCTGTCTGACCTCTGAACTCTTTATCAGCTGCATCTAACCATCAGTGGATGGATGAACTTTAAACAAAAAAACTCTGACCAAATACTAAAAACGAAACTTCCATTTGGATAATCGACATTTATGAATAAAGAATTTGCCGTTCAGGATCCCTTTATCTTCATGAACATAATAACAAATAATTGCTTAACACATTCAAACCGGATCCGATTATCTCTGTTTGCCCTGTAACGTCTGCCATAAAGTTTAAACACAAATATACTCGTGTGTGTGTGTTTTATACGAGGGCTGACACGGGAGGTTCCCTCACGACACTGTGACACAGTTCAAACACACACACACACAAATGCGCAGGTGTGTGAACAGGAAGCAGAGATGCAGTGAGTGACAGTACTCTGATACCTGAGGCAGAACACGAGAAAACAAGTCCAAACTCGAGTCAGATCCAACGATCATTTCATTCCGACGAGCCTTCAATCGGCGCAGTCGAGTCCTTTCAGCCACACGCTAAGTTACAGTCATCAACAATCTCACAGATTGAGGTTTAAAGGGGGTTTACGGACGAATATGACATAGAAGAACCATTTTGAGAACCTTTTCGCACTAATAAAGAACCTTCTGTGGAACGGAATTTAAGGTTCTTTACGGAACGTTCGGTTTGTTGTGAGTGTCATTAGCGGTGGCGTCGCTGACTCGGATAATCGCATTCGCGTTTATCAGTGCACTGCACATTATTGTAACTTTTACAGAAAGATCCATGTCAAAATTATATTATGACTCACGGAAACCAACAAACATAAAAAGTGTGAAACCCTCATCAACCACTGAAGGTCTGACTCTGAGGGAGGAGAGAGAGAGAGAGAGAGAGGGAGAGAGAGATAGTCTCAGTAACGTGCAGCTCATCTGTAGTTTCATGTTGAGTCGTGTTTCTTTCTGCACTGAAGTTCTTCATGCCACTGAAGCTTCACGTTCACACATCTAGAAACGGTAAGCGATTTCTTGCCTTTGTGACAAATAATACTAAGTACTATGAATAATGAGGGTCAGGAACTCCGTGAGAGAAGATGAATGAGTGCAATATGTGTGTGAGAGCGTGAGAAAGTTTCTGTCTGGAATTATTCAATCCAGTTTGTGTATTATTTTACTGTTTTATTTGACAGGGGAAATACAGTTTACGATCAATATGATCAGTCTCTATGTGTCTTTGCTTTTACTAAAAACATCTGACATCCATGTAAAATTTAAAACAAGGTAACTCAATGTACAGAAAATGTAATATAACAAAGGAAATAAACAATTGCAGCAGATTTAGAAAGATTTACATGGAAAGTGAAAAATTAAAAATAAGTTATACATTTGATAACATTTGTTAACATCAACTAAAATGACTTTTAAAGGATATATTTATCTGGGATCAGGCTATTTTCAACATTTAATAATATTTTGCTAAAAGTTTATATTATTTAATGGACCTGAGCTGACATGAACAGCTGAATTTTTATTAACATTTAAGATTAATAAATAACATAACAAATGTCATGCTCGTATTGATGTTAACTATTAAAAACTGGTAACACTTTATTTCAATGGTCCACTTTAGACATAAGTAACTCTGCAACTATATGTCAACTTATAACCCGAACCATATCATGTATCAAAGTAACTTATAATGCCACTTAAAAAAAAAAAAAAAAAGATTATCAATAAATTATGACGACATATGTTTTTAAAATGCTCATCAAACTCATCAAAATAAGATATGCAATTTTCAACTCTTTTATAAGATTAAACTTACTTTTTTTTAAAGTCAGTTTGATGTCATTTAAGTTGAAATGACTTAAAAATGCAAGTTGATTGTACTTTTTATTTTTTTTAAAATGAAGGCAGGACTTTTTTTACAGTGTAAAGTGGACCATCAAACAAAGTGTAACTCATTAACGTTATTGTAAAATGTTACTGAATCAAATCTGCATATTTCAATGGACTGACTATCTTTAATTTGACGCGTCCTGATGGGCATCATTATACAAATGTAAATCAACAGACTTTGTCATTTGAATGAACATACGATAAGTTGAGTTGCCAAACATGCATCAATCTTTCACATACGCATCTCTAAAGTAACATGATACAGGTAAACGCTAACATGTGTCTGAGTTCCTCGGCTCCACATTACTCACACACACACCCCTGAGACTGAACAACTATAACAAACTAAAGATTTAGGGTCATTGAAATGAATCACGAATGAATCTAATCTCTATTAAATATTTAGTAGCTTTTGACCGAATGGGAAGTTACTAAGATAATAACCCCAGTTTCACAGACAAGGCTTAAGCCAGTTAAAGCAGACTAAAATGCATGTTTGTATGGGGTGTTTTTATTTATTTATTGAGATGTAACAAATTATGGCAGCATATTACAGCAATATTATAATTTAAAATAGTTTAGATCTCTTTTACATAGTATTCATAATAAAAATAATAACAAAAGAAAAACAAACACAGGTCAATTCAGCTTTACATTAAGTGTTGGAAATAGTCATAAGCAAATCGTGATATAAAAAGGGGTTATTTAGGAAAAACAGTAAATGATGAAGGGTTTAGTAGCAAGAAATGTTGAGTGAAATTAAGTTGGGAATCAATTTCATCTCCTCCGTGTTTGAGCTGTTTTAACTGGAAGCAAGATGCGCACCAGTAATGTTGTTTCCTAAGGCACTTTAAATTATCTAATTAAACTAAGGCCTAATCCTGGCTTAATTTAATCCCTATCTGTGGAACCGGGACTTAAAGGAGTAGTTCACTTTTAAAAAACTTTTGCTGATAATTTACTCACCCCCATATCATCCAAGATGTCCATGCCTTTATTTCTTCAGTCGAAAAGAAATTAAGGCTTTTGATGAAAATATTCCAGGATTTTCTCCATATGGACTTCAATGGGAACCAAACAGTTCAAGGTCCAAAAGACAGTTTCAGTGCAAACTGTTCAAAGGGCTTTAAACGATTCCAGACGATGAATAAGGGTCTTATCAAGCAAAACGATCGCTCATTTAATAAATAAATAAGTTTAAGTTTTATAAGCACAAATGCTCTGTTCTGTGAAGAGCGTTCATGACTCTCCTGTTCGAACTCGTTCATCAAAATGAATGAATCTTTTTTCTGAGTCCTAGATAAGACCCTTATTCATCGTCTGGAATCGTTTAAAGCCCTTTGAACAGTTTGCACTGAAACTCTCATTTTGGACCTTGAACCGTTTGGTCCCCATTGAAGTCCATAATATGGAGAAAATCCTGAAATGTTTTCATCAAAAACCTTAATTTCTTTTCGACTGAAGAAAGAAAGACATGGACATCTTGGATGACATGGGGACGAGTAAATTATCAGCAAAAGTTTTTTTTTAAAGTGAACTACTCCTCTAAAGTTTGGATGACAAATCAAAAAAGAAAGTGAGATGATGGTGCCATTGCAGTGTTTGGTTTGTTTCAAGCTAATGATGTTTAATGCTCTTCAGGACTACAGTGATGGACGATCTGATCACCTGCACCCCCTACTGGCCACTCCGTGTTCAACAGCACAGCCCGCCTGAGTAAAACTCGACTCGCGTTACGTGTTTTGACCCTGCAATGATGAAAGTGATGAGCTGAGGAAGACTAGCATCTAGAAGACGTGACCCATGGATGTGTCATCCAGCGCAGGGACGTCCAACTCGTCCTCATACGCTTTCGTCAGCGCCTACCACAGCTACCAGAGCAACGAAGTCCTCCGGCGCCACTATAACCACTCGGGAAAACTAAACAACAAAGATAGATTTAAACCGGACGCCATCGTCTTCCTCTTCATCTGCCTCCTCATCATAGTGGAGAACATCATCGTCCTCATGGCCATCTGGAAGAACAAGAAGTTCCAGATGCCCATGTATTATCTGCTGGGGAACCTGACGCTCTCAGACCTGCTAGCCGGATTCACTTACATGCTAAATATCCTGCTGTCGGGGCCGAACACGCTGAGTCTGACGCCACTGCTCTGGTTTATAAGAGAAGGCCTTGTGTTTATCACGCTAACGGCGTCTATCATTAGCTTGCTAGCTATCGCCATCGAGCGCTACTTCACCATGCTAAACACGAAGCCTTATTACCGCGCAAAGCGCAACCGCATGTTCGTTCTGATCGCGGTTAGCTGGGCGCTGTCGGTGTTGCTAGGCACCCTTCCCATTATGGGATGGAACTGTTTGGATGACCTGGACTCGTGCTCAACCGTGCTTCCGCTCTACGCTAAAAACTACATCTTCTTCAGTGTGTTTGTGTTCATGGCCGTCCTTCTGGCCATCGTCGCCCTGTACGCACGGATCTTTCACTTCGTAAAGTCCAACACGCAGAACCCGAGCGACGTGCCGCGCAAAGCCTACGGGCTTCGCTCGCGGAAATACATGGCGTTGCTAAAGACGGTCACCATTGTAGTGGGGGTGTTTATTATGTGCTGGATGCCTCTGTTCGTGCTTCTGCTCCTGGACTTCGTGTGTCCCGCGAAAGAGTGTCCGGTGCTACTCAAAGCTGAATACTTCTTGGGCGTGGCCATGATTAACTCCTTCATCAACCCGATTATCTACACGATGACTAGCCGAGACATACGCCGGGCCATCCTGAAGCTGCTCTTCAAACGCTGTCTGACCACCAAAGACGGGACATTGAGGAATATCGGCATTAAGATCAGCTTCACTAAGACTGACGCGCACCGTCACGGGCAGGAGACGACCGTTTCATCGGGAAATGCCACAACCGTAAACGTCAAAACCATCTACCCGAAGCTCAAGTTATCCGTCGTCGCGTAACGCCGTGTCCTGAGCCGAAAGACATCTTTTCCATGCTAATCAGAGTTTTCCTAATCAGCCACAATGACGACACGTGACTATTCTAGTTTAGAAGTGGCGATTTTGTGGCTGGAAAAACAAGACAATGATGATCTCAGGTAGTAATTATATGCTTCATTTAATGTTAAAAGCATCTAATGCGAGTTTGAATATCGTTTTGCTTGACCTTTATAGCCCTGTTGAGAGCGACAACGGATAACTCACCTCTGATCTTGAAAATGAAAGGAACGAACTGAACTCAATGTGAACGAATTAGAGTATTCTATGGCAAAGATTATTTGTCACTCAGTATGTATTTTTATTAATGTTAAAATTGTGTAATATTTATGAATTTGATGTACTTATGCATTTCGCATTTGCAGAGACTCCGCCCACACTCTCCTCTGATTGACTGTGATGTTGAATTTATTTGGTTTGCGAGTACAGTGCATCTGCAGAGACTCCGCCCACACTCTCTTCTAATTGGCTGTTGATTTGGTTGCGAGTACAGTGCATCTGCAGAGACTCCACCCACACTCTTCTAATTGGCTGTTGATTTGGTTGCAAGTACAGTGCATTTGCAGAGACTCCACCCACACTCTCTTCTAATTGGCTGTTGATTTGGTTGCGAGTATAGTGCATTTGCAGAGACTCCGCCCACACTCTCTTCTAATTGGCTGTTGATTTGGTTGCGAGTACAGTGCATTTGCTGTGACTCCGCCCACACTCTCTTCTGATTGGCTGTTGATTTGGTTGCGAGTATAGTGCATTTGCAGAGACTCCGCCCACACTCTCTTCTAATTGGCTGTTGATTTGGTTGCGAGTATAGTGCATTTGCTGAGACTCCGCCCACACTCTCTTCTGATTGGCTGTTGATTTGGTTGCGAGTACAGTGCATTTGCAGAGACTCCGCCCACACTCTCTTCTGATTGGCTGTTGATTTGATTGCAAATATAGTGCATTTGTAGAGACTCCGCCCACACTCTCTTCTGATTGGATGTTGATTTGGTTGCGAGTACAGTGCATTTGCAGAGACTCCACCCACACTCTCTTCTGATTGGCTGGAATCTTGTCACTCCTTGTCTTGTTAGGACAGTGTAAAAAGTGTTCTTGGCCATGACATCTTCAGTGCTAAAAGAACTATGAGGACTATGTTACAAACCCAAGCACATTCAGGCTCTGGATTGAATCATGACGAACCAAACCGAATTAAAGACATGTAATAAATCACAGCCACAAACCACAGCTGGAAAGAAACTGAGCATTTCAAACACAACAATCGGACTTTGGCAATATTCCCCTTTTCTTGCATTATGTAAATGAAGTTGTGGGCTGAAAGAGGTCTCTCTCAGGTGTTTTCCAGCATTTCAACATTGGACCACACGGCCTTTGACATTTGCAGTCACGATTACAAAAATATGCTGACATACTTCAAAAAATATATGAGAGTTTAGAAATAAATATAAAAGCCTTTATTTAATCATGGCCATGGCTCTTTTATATTCTTTCTAAACTCTCGAGTGCCTTGGCTCACATCCAAAGAGCACCGAGACTTCATAGCCCAGCAGCAATCTTTGCGTTTTGTGTTTATGACAGACATATCTATCAGTTCATCGAGCTGTATCACGAGATCTGCAGTGCATGCGAAGACTTCACATGTTTTCTGCAGACTGCGCTCCACAGCGAATGGCCTGTTGTGATATAAAACCACATACTGTAGATTCTGATAATGTAAAATATACAAACACGAGGAAACTCACTGTAAATATTCCACTTCAACACAAATGCTCTTATTTAATGTTGAACTGTAAGCATCTCTTAACACAAAAGCATTTAAGATTTTTTTGTACATATTATTTTGCACAGTATATATGTTTTTTAAGCTTTTTTTTACCAAGTAAATTTTTTTCTTATTTTACATTAAATATTTTTTTAAATAAACAATGTAGCGTGTTTACATACTGTTCACAGATTATGAAGTTTGACGGTCACATTAAAGAGAGAAATCATGTGTGTGTGTATAAACAAGGTGAGGTTGCCAATCATATACGTCATTACCCTGAACACACATCTGTTCTTTCAGATCAACACTTTCTTTCTAAACAGTCACAGCTATCAGGTTCAGTGGGGATATAAAACTCTAAGGTACTTCACTTAAAAAAAAAAATATTGCTGATAATTTACTCACCCCCATGTCATCCAAGATGTCCATGTCTTTCTTTCTTCAGTCGAAAAGAAATGAAGGTTTTTGATGAAAACATTCCAGGATTTTCTCCATATAATGGACTTCAATGGGGTCCAAACGGTTCAAGTTCCAAATGAGAGTTTCGGTGCAAACTGTTCAAAGGGCTTTAAACGACTCCAGGCGATGAATAAGGGTTTTATCAAGCGAAACGATCGCTCATTTCAAAAATACATACAAAAGTTTAAGTTTTATAAGCACAAATGCTCGCCTCGCTCTGTTCTGAGACCTTTTCAATGTAATTGCGTATTACGTGAAGTCACGAACGCGCATCACAGAACAGACATTTATAGATTATCGTGACAGAATATGTTAATCAAAGATATTCACATCAGCTACATAAATGCATCAACTAAGCATCCTGTTGCTAAGTTGTCACTTCTTGAGTCTCTCCATCTTTGTGCAGCTCCGGTTTGAACATAAAATCTTAAAAGTTTTAGAGATTTTCAGTGTGCATATGTTTGTGAGGTAATCAGAGCTGCTACCACACGAGCTCTTGAAGCTCCGCCCCCTGTGCCGAAAGCAGCAGCTCAGCTCATTTGCATTTAACAGGACAGATGCAAACACGGATTTCGAGTTAAAACTTCACACACACTCTGGGGAGATCAGAGACTTATTTTACATCGTGTGAAAAGGGAAATATACCACCCCTTTTAAGGTTCTATGCAAAATTTAAAAACCCTGATGGCCGTCAAGTGAACTAGGCCTACAGAAAGCAATTTGTTGCCCGTGCTCACAGACTGAGACTGAGACTGAACGTGACTCATGGCGAAGCTCTTTATCATTCTTTGCTTGGAAGTAAAAAAAGAAGTTAGTATACATTATACCTGCAATATACTGTTAACGAACATCCCGACGGCGTCCACGGCTGAAAGCGATGGATAGATGAATATGTAAATTTGTGCCTTACACTTTCCTCTCAATAACAAAATGTCAGTGGTGAGAAACAGCAGTTCAGAAATCATCTGATCATAGAGAGATGTGGATGTTTGCTGCAGATCTGAGATTATCACTGTTATGATAGTTTGATTATAAAGTAAGCTATATTTAAAACTATATAGATCTGACTTTGTGAGACTAATAAATCACATTCTCTGCATGACACCTGCATCGCTCATTATGCATCATCCTGAACATTGTATCATTTATTCATTTCATGTGTCAAGAGAAGCTCTCCCGTAACCGTCACATCACTTAGATTTTCCCGGGAAAAACATCCCGAGTCCTTCACAAAAAAAAAAAAAAAAAAAAAAAAAATCGGTCTACTCTACGCGGCTATTAAAGACAACAATCTTTTTTAAGTTTCGTGACCAGCTGTTAACATTAGCTCCTTTCACACAGTAATTCCGTTTAATTAACGTAAAATTTGCTATGACTTTATACACAAATATGCCGTTCACACAAGCAGCGCCGATCTGGCTTTTCCCCGGTAAAAGACATTCACATCAGCACCAAAACACTAGTAAACTCTGTAATGTCAGTCATCGGCAGTGATCTTTAACACACATGTTGCGGCATCATATCAGTAATTTACTAGTGATGCTACAACTTCACTTACTAATAATGTTTGAAAAGTTCACAGATCTCTATCGCATATTTACCAGTATAGACTGTATATGTGTGAAAGAGGCTATTGGCTATAAAAAAGCATATCAAACTTTTTACATGGAGACCCTGTAAATAATTATGGGTAATAATTATATTAATAATTAGCCTATAATAATTCACTAATAATTATAATAATTCATATATACTTATAAGTTATAACTAAAAGCCTATATATTAATTATCCATTAAAGGCTGTAGTGTGGAGCGCCTGACAACACTTCCCTTTCCTTTAATCAGTAAAACTCATACAGTGGTAATTCTGCATTAAATGACTCTTGATAACTTCAGAGATGTAATCTTGATTTAGCGGTTTCTGTTCGGCTCTGTTCTGTGTTAGAGCTGATTGAGCGATTCACAGTGAAGATGCTTTAGTCACGTAAATTACATGCTTTAAATTACACAATATATCATCCATCCAACAGCTTTCGTATGGATTAACACCTTTATCGAGTCCAGCGCTCTTCCGTCCTGTCAGCATGTGAGATGTTAAACCGCACTGGATGACACACACACACACACACACACACACACACACACACAGAAGCTGGTGATGCATGTCGGCTTGCTGTGGGTTCAGATCTGTAGGAGTTTGCAGAGGGGCTGGTATATTTGCACAGTAACATGGAAACACAACTGAGCTCAGTTTTGCCCTCTTTACCGTAAACACAAACACACACACACACACACACGCGTGCGCGCGCTTCAGAGCCATACTCACTAAAACCACAAGCCTTGAGCTCCTCTTACAAAGCCATATAGCCCACGACATGGGTATCAAGTGCACACACACATACACATGCAAACAAGCACATAAACCAACTGAAACTAATACATATTATATTTTTAGATATGAAACTATGGCCATGGGTCAAAAGCCCTTCGTCGTTGAAACTTAAAACCTTTCTACACTCTTCCCTCAGTTCTGCTGAAATCTCAGACACGCAGCAGGGCATTTCACACACAAACACACTAAAACTATCAAAACACTTCATTTACGTCTCAAATCAACTCATTCTTCCTGAACACCAGCAGAGGTTTCACACTAACACACTTTATCACTCATAAAACACAGACCAACACACACATCAGGAGCCTACTTTAGCAAAACTTCTTTACAAAACGAGAATGACTCTAATCTGCGTATAATTCACTGCAGTGTGTGTCACACGTCTACAGTACAACATTATTCCTACATTTTCCTCTTCTGCACGGATGAGATGAAACTGAAAGACTGACACTTGATGTTCAGCTTCATCTCATCACTTTCACAGTATTTGATGTTTCTTTTTATCCATAGTTCAATATTATACTATATTGTGTTTTGTTAAATTGTAAAGTGTAACAGTTTTGAAATGAGAATGCAAACATGTGCAAACTGTTCTTGTCATTCATAAAGTGTTGCTGGTCGTGTTTGTGTTTAAGTGAGAAATTATTTAATGTAATTTGAAAGATGTCATTAAATGCATTTTGTGCCAAATAATAAATGATCCTCAGTTTATCCCACATGGACAGATGCTGATCACCGAGTGAAGAGTGTGGAAAAGTGACTTACCTATTGAAAAATGTGTTCAAGCGATTGTAAAAATTTAAAAAAGCTGTTTTTATTTTCATGTTTTCATCTGGCTATATAAATCTGCAGTCTCAGAGTTTCTTGAATAAAAGACGATGGTAAAGCACAGAGGATGTTTATAACATGCTGAATATAACACGTATACTATAGCCTAACACATACATAGTTTATAAAGAATCATTTGCCTGGTTTTACAGACCAGGCTTAAGTAGCCTACAGACTAAATGTTTGAGATGAAAGTATATTATCTTAAAATATCAGTAGCTTTTTTGGAAGGCACGTTTATAAAAGCTCAGGGACGTGCACAGGGGGGTTGCTCAGGTTACCCGGGCAACTGCCCAGATGCCCTTCTCGACTCAGGTTGCCCTTCCGAGGAAAAAAAAAAAATCGTACAATGGATGTAGAATTTCACGTAGGCCTAGACAAAAAAAATAATATAAAAATCGCAAAGCCTCATTCACTTCAAAAAAAAAAAAAGTGAAAGTCAAACTGTTTCCACGAGACCATAGACTGCACGCAACCTGTGCGTAAGGCACCGCAAATTACTCAGGCCGCCTGGCCGCGCCTCCATCTCGTGTCGCGCGCTAATTAATGTGTACGAAGTCCATGACAAAATGAAGCGAAACTATCCTTCTCGTCACAAAAAGAGGAAGAAGAAAAACAAGAGAGTGAATTGCGGGAACAGCAGTAAACGTGTGTTCTCTCCTCTCTAGTGTCAGCAAAGTTTGATTTGTCTGGGCAGGCAGTGCATCTCTTGCATCACTTTTTGCCTGACAAAAGTGAGAGTAAAATACCATTATTTATTGCGTTTTGTTTTTTATAAACGACAAAGTGCAACAACAGTGTTTGTTTACTACAGCTCGGAAAACATAATCGCGTCGCGTGTGTTGCGTTCATATGCGCGTGCACGAAATGAAACTCGCATTTTTCAAAGTACACATTATAAAGACACTGATTATCTAGTCTCAGTGTAGTTAAAAACTCTAAACAACTGCACTAATTATGCAAGATATAAACCAATGTATTGGCAATTTGACATTGATTGACTATTGATTTATAGGCTATATTGAATTTAAAATGATGATTAGATGGACATTCTGGTCAATATGAATGCCAATCCCCCAGTAAATAACCATAAATCAAGATTTGCTTCAACATGCATAAAAAAAAAAATTAAATAAAAATCATAGGCTACTGATTCTGAAAATACCCAGGCTGTAGAGAGAACCAAAGTTAATCCCAAAAGCCAAAGTTCAGGGTTGTACTTTATTATTTTCTTCTTGTTTATGTTTACGTTAATATTCACTTGTTATCCTAACATTCTATAAAAATGCTTTATTCAGTAAATATTGTTTGTTTGAACCTCATTCTGTTCTATATTGTTGTACTTATTCTTTGACTGTTTTGTTTAAAGGAGGGAGGATTGTATTGGGCGGTATAGAGTGGCAATGGCAAATGGTTTACATGTCTCACGGCATCACAGATCAGGTAGAGGGCCCCTTAGCAGAATTTTGCTTCGGGCCCCAGGGGAGGATTGGCAAAAAAAGAATTGTATTTTTTCCCGAAATCTAAGCGTTTTTTATTTTTTCGAGTTTTTTCCATTCAATCCAGATTATTTATTTTCAAATAAATAATAAATAATAATTTAAAAAACAATAAACAACAATATGAGGAACTCTTTTGCTCATTTGTCTCATCTCTGACATTTTGCAATCTTTATAAATAATTATAAGACCATAAGATGAGGCATTGCGTTTGGACATAAACACGGCCAGATAAGGCAATTTGGAAGGGGACAAATTCAACTAAATATATTCCTTCATATAGCCCGTGAGGGGGGGGGGGGCTTTTTTCAGGTCAGAGCAACTGCCCCTCAAAATTCCTGTGCACGTCCCTGTAAAAGCTACTTAAATGTCCTAATTAATATAATCACTGTCTGTCTGTCTGTCTGTCTGTCTGTCTGTGAAATCAGGCCTGTTTATATACAACAGAAAAGTCTTGATTGCAATCATCACACAGTCGAGCTGCGCGCGCAGTTTTTGTTAACGTGTAGCGACATCTAGTGCTCGCGCTCCAATATCTATGCTCGCGCTCTGAACTGCGTCATCACGCACGACAACCTGATGAACCCATGTGATGAACCTGATGCCTTTGCACGATGAATTGCATTGCACAATAACAATGATGATTACGATGATGATTGTGTGATGTTTCAAAATCAAGAGCAGACAACGCATTTTAGCTGCCTTTATCTAGGTCTAAAATATCATTTTATTTAATACAGGTAAGATTTTCAAAATTCTAATAATTTCATAATTGTCACATAATTCTTACATATAAATCATTATTATCTTGGGCAGAAGATCATGTATAGTAAATATGATTGATCACACGATTGATTGGCGTCTGTTTGCGCGTGAACGGGGGTTCAGTAGCGCGCGTTCCTCAGCTGTGCTTAGTCACGCTGAGTTTCCCTTTCTGAGAGTACGGAACACACACACACACACACGCGCGCGCTGAAGTACAAAATAACACACTGTAACACACACTGTCACCGAGAGCCGTTTCCGATGAGCTGTGAGTGTTTTAAGGACAGACTGTTTACTGTGTTTGGTTTTCTGCTGAGATTTGTACTGTTTTTATTTTATTTCATGTCGATGTTAACAGCATTAACGCTCCTATTGCGTGTTTATTTATTCAATTTACTGATTGACAGTATTTATGATTATGGTGATTATAGCTTGTTTCGTAATATATGAGGATAAAATCATTATGAAGTTTAATAATCTTGAGAGATAAGGCGTTCGCAGTGTGATGTTATAAAGCTTGAGCTATAATAATAACATTTACCGTTACAGTACAATAGTTTATCGCCGAATATTTATCAAACTAGTGTTTTGATTGATAATTTAAGCATACAAGACATTTTGCTCAGAATGGTTCAAGCATCCACAGAGCGTCTAATGTTTAAGTACATTTCAGAGATTTGAATTAATTTCTCGAGTCGAGTCTCGGCGCTTCTGCTGTGTGTGACCGGGCTTGAGCTGCTGGAGGGCGGATAGAATTTAAAATCCAGCCCGGGGATTTCGGGCCCATCACTGTTTACATGTTGACATTTCAAACTTAAAGTGGCGCTTTGCGATTTTTATTTTTACTAAAAAGTATGTAAGATAGCTTTTCAGTAAAATATGATTTTAGGTTCACCTTTATAAAACTGGAATATTAAATGATTATATTAGAATTATTAAATTAAATACGTGTTAAATGATTAAACACTTTTTCACTGTAAACACTCACTGAATAACTATAAACATTTGTTTAATATGTCCTGATTTCTTAAACCTTCACTGCTGTTTGGTAAAGTTTCCCATTCATGCACCAGATCTGTTATGCAGTGCCATCACACACACATTTCTTTAACTATCTGTGAGAGCATTCATTATATAATGCAGTCCTACTAAACCAAATCTTATCTAAGTCTTGATTGTTTGAGTCTCTTCTGATGGGTCACTGACAGCAGACACAAACCGTGTTCATATTTAAATAGTGTAATTAATTGTGCGTCTGTAATACAGCAATATGAATAGATTTGTTAACTTTTTAACGGGAGAAGAAACCCCTCTGTACTTCTCTAGTTGTTCAAATCAGAAGTTGTACATCCAATAAAACTGCGGCGGGTTGGATCAAATTAGATGGATGTCAAAATGCACAGGTTGTGAAATCTTCTTTTTAATGTTATGTTTAACGTTAATGGAATACTAATCAGTAATTATTGTTTGTTTTAAGGACACATTCTCCTCAGTGAGATATGTTGAGTTGAGTTTGATTTACTGCTATAGTTGTGATTATGATTGTGCTGTGTTTCTTATGTTTTTTCTTCATCTCAGGACTCCCAGTCATCAGTGAAAACACCATAAAACTCCTGAAATGACACACGTGTGACAGTTTTCCCAGAACTCATTCTGTCACAAAGTCTGCAAGATCCTTCACAGTCAAAGAACGTCCGGCGTTCAGTTTTCGACTCGTTTCTCTTCACCTTGTACCCGAACCTGCACAGAAAACCAGTTTCACTTCACATCCAATAAAAAGGTCTCCTTTGGCTTGAGGAAGAGACACTACTATGTGAGCAACAAACCGGTTGAATTCTTCTTGTGCTTTTCCTGCTTCACAAATTCCCCCAGTCGAATCAAACAGATTGCGTATGAAATGGAGAAGTGTCACAGACCCAAACCATCAGTAGATTATAGGCCTGTATAACAGCACGTTTCACTTGAGCGACCCGTAAGAGCGTGTAAAACTCATCCGTCTGCCGTCTGCCGCCGCTGAACCTGCGCTGGCGAGCGAGGATGCTAGTGCCGGGCCGCGGCCGGTGACGATGTACGCGGCGTCCGGGATGACGGAGTGCAAGGCGGAGGTCACGCCGTCGGAGCGAAACGGCCACCGTGTGTTTAGCTACACGCTGGAGAGCCACACGGCGGCCGCCTTCGCCATCATGAACGAGCTGCGGATGGAGCGCCAGCTGTGCGACGTCACGCTGAGGGTCAAGTACAACGAGCTCCAGGCCGTGGACTTCGTGGCTCATAAGGTGGTGTTGGCGTCATCGTCGCCGGTGTTTCGTGCCATGTTCACCAATGGGCTGAAGGAGTGTGGGATGGAGGTGGTGCCCATCGAGGGGATCCACCCAAAGGTAAGATGTTGCGATCATGAATTGTGTTCTGACATTAAAGGTGCAGTGTGTAAATTTGACCAGCATCTAGTGGTGAGGTTGCGCATTGCAACCAACAGAAATTACAGTGTCCAGAAGTGATGTCGACGTCTGAGACAGCAGAGTAGGCAGTTAACCAATGAGGTTTCTCTACAAAGATAAATTAAGAAATTAGGTTTACTTAAAGAAGTAGTTCACTTTTAAAAAAACGTTTGCTGATAATTTTCTCACCCCCGTGTCATCCAAGATGTCCATGTCATTATTTCTTCAGTCGAATAGAAATTAAGGTTTTTGAAGAACATTCCAGGATTTTTCTCCATATAATGGACTTCAATGGGAACCAAACGGTTCAAGGTCCAAAAGAGAGTTTCAGTGCAAACTGTTCAAAGGGCTTTAACGATTCCAAACGATGAATAAGGGTCTTATCAAGCGAAACGATCGCTCATTTAAAAAATAAATAAAAAAGTTTACGTTTTATAAGCACAAATGGTCGCCTTGCTCTGTTCTCTGATGCGCGTTCGTGACTCTCCTTTTCATCAAAATGATCAAATCTTTTTCCGAGTCAATTCATTCATTGAATCAACCAAATGACACAAAAAAAAATATTCGTTCATTTTGATGAATGAGTTCGAACAGGAGAGTCACAAACCCGCATCACAGAACAGAGCAAGGCGACCATTTGAGCTTATAAAACTTAAACTTTATTTATTTTTTAAATGAGCGATCGTTTCGCTTGATAAGACCCTTATTCATCGTTTGGAATCGTTAAAGCCCTTTGAACAGTTTGCACTGAAACTCTCTTTTGGACCTTGAACCGTTTGGTTCCCATTGAAGTCCATTATATGGAGAAAAATCCTGGAATGTTTTCATCAAAAACCTTCATTTCTTTTCGACTGAAGAAAGAATGACATGAACATCTTTGATGACATGGGGGTGAGTAAATTATCAGCAAAAGTTTTTTTAAAAGTGAACTACTCCTTTAATTGTTCGGTAAAACGATATGTTATTGCGAATATTATTGTAACTTGTTCATCATTGTGTCAGTGTTTTATTCGCTGACTTAAGCAGCTTCTTTACACGAAGAACAACATAGTGACGAAACGCGTTTGTCCACTTGTCCGACACAGGTCATGGGCCGGCTCATCGAGTTTGCGTACACGGCGAGCATCTCTGTGGGGGAGAAGTGTGTGATTCACGTGATGAACGGGGCCGTCATGTACCAGATCGACAGCGTGGTGAAGGCCTGCTGTGATTTCCTCGTGACGCAGCTCGACCCGAGCAACGCTATCGGCATCGCCAACTTCGCCGAGCAGATCGGCTGCACAGAACTTCATCAGAAGGCCAGAGAGTACATCTACATGAACTTCAGTCAGGTCAGTGACCTCTGAGTAAACCTGTGTGATGATGGGGAGGGCACATGTTAAAGGGATAGTTCACACAAAAATTAAAACTTCACGTTGTTCAACCCCGTAAGACTTTCGTTCATCTTCAGAACACAAATTAAGATATTTGTGATTTAATCACTCCTCCATAGGCTTCTATTGTAATTGAAACTTGCCGGACCAGAAAGTTATTAAAGACATCGTTAAAATAGTCAGAGTGACTACAGCGGCTCAACCTTAAGATTATCAAGCAATGCGAATACTTTCTGTGCGAAACCCCCCCAATATAACGACTTTGTTCAACTATTCATTTCCTTTTGTGTTCTATGTCAGGCTCACTATTGGCCGACGCTGGTCATGTGTGTGATGCTGGCCAATAGTGAGCCTGCGTTCTGACGTACAACAAAGAAGCGCTGTGCTGTTACATTACGTGAACTAACTTGAGGCCCACACAGTAGAAAACGCATATATGCATGTATATATTTAAGAAAAATGTGTTATTTATATATATAAAATATTTATATATAGTAAAAATTCCTGTAGTATATACATGCAAATATTTCTTAAATATTTTTATTTTGGATGTGATTAATTGCGGTTAATCGTTACCCAGCACTAAAAAAAAAATCATTCTGAAACCTACGACTCGTTTCTTTCTTCTTTTTTTTAAAAACTATATCTTAATTATATTTATCCTCCTTGGTGTGAATGTGCTTTACAGGTATTTGATACTGGATGAGATTAAACGTGCCTCTCTCTCTCGCTCTCTCAGGTGGCGACGCAGGAGGAGTTCTTCAACCTCACTCACTGTCAGCTAGTGACGCTAATCAGCCGCGACGAGCTGAACGTGCGCTGCGAGTCCGAGGTGTTTCACGCGTGCGTGGAGTGGGTTCAGTACGACCGCGAGAACCGGCGTCCGTACGTTCAGGCGCTTCTCCAGGCCGTCCGCTGCCACTCGCTCACGCCGAACTTCCTGCGCCGGCAGCTCGAGCACTTCGAGTGGGACGCGCAGAGCAAAGACTACCTGTCCCAGATCTTCCAGGATCTCACGCTGCACAAACCCACCAAACTCATTCCCTGTCGGACTCCCAAAGTCCCGCAGCTCATCTACACGGCGGGCGGATACTTCCGGCAGTCGCTCAGCTACCTGGAGGCGTTTAACACCTGTACGGGCGCGTGGCTGCGGCTAGCGGACCTGCAGACGCCGCGCAGTGGGCTAGCGGCGTGTGTTATTAGCGGTCTCCTGTACGCGGTGGGCGGGAGGAATAACGCTCCGGATGGAAACATGGACTCAAACACGCTGGACTGCTACAACCCGATGAATAACTGCTGGCTGCCGTGCGCGCCCATGAGCGTCCCGCGCAACCGTATCGGTGTCGGCGTGATCGACGGGATGATCTACGCGGTGGGCGGCTCGCACGGATGCCTACATCACAACAGCGTGGAGAGGTGAGATTTTTGATGCGTTTTATCTTTTATCTCTTCCACACTAAACCAAAATCTCTTTGGCTGTAACGAGACCCTCGTGTCACGACTCATATACATATCACGAAACTGAACTCACGATACCATATTATTGCGATACTCCAAGAAATATCAAAATATTGGGCTGTCAAAATGTCTGAATTCCTAAATTCGAATTTATTTCTTAAATATTAGCAAAATTCTAATAAAATTCAAATTCTGAAGGCAATAGGGGAATAGTACTGTATTGTCCACAAGAGGGCGCAACAAGCAAATATCAACCTAATTAAACATCGCATCTTTTATTGAAATGACATTCACTTTTTTTAAAGTGCATTAACTTTTGAAACAATTGTTAAATAATTTCCTTAATGTGCATGCCAGGAATATTAGATTACAGTAGTGCATAAAACCGTGTAACCTGAGAAAACACACTTACACACAGCGTAATGTAACGTTACTACATGAATACACACAATAGCAAACTGCCATTCAGAAACAATCCACTTCTACATATTGTGTATCCAAAACACCGACACTCAGCTTGATCTTGATCTAACTGAACATAAACACACACACACACACACACAATCAGCTCTGACCGATGTGCAGGTTTGGTCAAGTGTGTCCACACTGAGAGTGTTTTCGTCAGAGGGAGCCTTTTTCCACCATTTTTCTAATTAACAACGCAGCGCTGGATAAGTACTGAACCACGTCAGTTACATCATCATCATGTCTTCTTGACACATCAAAAATTAAAATGCACGGTTTTTACATTCAAATATGCATGTTTTTTTTTTTATTCGACGAATATTCAAAATACTAATTTTTATGACTTTTTTTTTTATTTGATATATTTTTTATTTTACAGCCCTAATCTCTTCCACACTAAAGTCTCTAGACACTAGGGCTGTGCAAAAAAAAAAAAACAATCAGGAAGAAAACCCCTGAAACCCTTCTGCATCCACATAACAATGGGCCGTTATGACACTTCCTCTATGTTTACGGAGATTAGTGATGAATAACAGGTGACAAACATTATTCTGTGAGTTAAAGGAAGTGGAACTCACTATTAATAGATATTTAAACACTGTGAACTTTGGAGTGAGTCACTGGAGTTATGAAAGGCACTCGGTCTGTCTGTTCCAGGTTAATCTGGTGTGTTTTACTTCCTCAAGTTGTGATCTGACTTGCTGATCCACTGCCATTAATAACCAAAAGCTCAAATTATAATAAACACACTCGCTTTGAGCTTTATTGCGCTCTAGTGATAAATAATGTGTGTAATATGCTGATAAGTGTTTGTGCCAATTCCTTTAAATATCGATTAATTTGGACAAATGTCAGGTACAGAACAATAAAATATAATATCTGAACACAATACAAAAATATCTCTGAACTAATGCTGTAAACTCTCCAGGGAACCCTGTCAGTTGGCACATTAGTTCATTTTAATCTGTAATATTTTACCAATTTGTATACAAACATTTAAATTACTAATAATTGTTAAGTTTTCATAATAGTAACATTAAAATATATATATTTTTAATATAAACATTTAAATGGTGGCTGTCATAACTTGTTTTTATGATGGATTTATTCAAATGTTAAACATTAAAGAACTCGTTAAGTAAAAATATAATGAATATCTAATATATACCTCATGTATTTGTCAAAATGCTTCTTTCTAGAGTTTATTTTTCTTGTTGACTGATGAGTTTATGGTCATTTCTGTGGTAAATGTGATGTTATTGTTCTCAAGCTGTTTTATTGACGTCTTTCCGTGGATGAAACACTGATTGAGCGATTACATGAGACATGATTCATTTCAGTAAATTGTTCTGGATTGCTTCTGATGTTCATTCGTGTGTATTTGCTGCTATGACTCTTAGTCAAGAGAAAGAGGTGATCGGTTCATCTGAGGCGCTTCGGCGACCTATCACCACACAGAGGCACATTCATTGTTTATAATAAGTTTATAATAAAATGCACCAAATTTGAAGGCTGAGGCGGTTTCATATCAAAAGTAACAAAGCACAAGACAAGTTTAGTTCATGCTTCAATCAACTGAAAACAAAGACTTAAAGATTGATTCTTGGCTCAATCGAAATGAGAATCGATTAAAATCAAGAAAAATAAACTGAAATTATCTTTAAAATTATAGACGTGTTTCACATTATTTTTTCAGCAGTGTTATACTGTAGTGTGAGAAGTGTTATTAACATCAGTGTAAAGCACCGGGTTCAGGTTATCCTATATTAGGGATATTTAACAAGAAATGTAAAAACAAAACTTTGCTTAATCAAAATTTTATATGAGCATGCCTAGTGAAAACTAAATTGGTAAATGATTTAACAGTTAAAAGGTTTTTTTGTTTTTTAGTTTACTGCATGGTTAAAAAAAAACAATATAGCCTATATTTGTTAACTCACGGGGCGTTTACAAACTAGACTATTAAAACTAGACAATGTGTGGATTGTAGGCCTGCTATTTTTATTTGATGAAAAAAAAAAACTTAGTGTGGCGTAAAAAATATTGACGGTTTTTCAAAGCTTCAAACGGATTCAGTGTTTTCTTTTTGTCATCTTAATTTAATAATTTAAGTTTAAAAAAATGATTTACTTAGTCCTATTTTATGTTTTTTTATTCATATTATTTTATTCTGTAAAATAATGTTGTTGATCTGTTGTGCTGTTTGCATGCTCTGAAAAATTGTTTAGTATTTTAACGGGTCAGATAGACACTCAATTTTATTTTTATTTAATTCAATAGGCTATTTTCTTATCAGTTAACGGTTAATACTCGGATAACGAGCGGAAACGAAAATTAACCGAAATGAGCATCACTTGATTTCATTGTATGAAAGTTACGTTAAAAAATAATCCAAAATAATTATAAAAAAAAAAAAGCATATTCTGCCAGTGGTCAAAACTATCTGCTTGCCATAGCTAGATTTAAAACGGTTAGCTTGTAATAATGATTTTAATCGCACGCGGGAAATTCGTGCGGTTTCATGCCGATTTACAACCCACCTAAAGATGATAATTCCGCGAATAACTGCGATTGCAGATTTCGAACAGAGATGGCGACAAAGAGGAAAAGTTGCGGACTGCAGCTTTAAATGCTGATTCTTATTAAAGCTACAATAGTCATTTAGTCAGCGAGTGATTTACTTCACTCTTTAGTTCATGACTTAGTTATTGCAAGCCGTTGCGATATGCGTATCGCCGTATATATAAATTTGATATTTTGTGCAGCTCTAGTATGAATGCATGTTTGCTGCGGTGTTCCAGGTACGACCCCGAGCGAGACTGCTGGCAGCTGGTAGCGCCCATGCTAACGCGGCGCATCGGTGTGGGCGTGGCCGTGATCAACCGTCTGCTGTACGCGGTGGGCGGCTTCGATGGGACGCACCGGCTGAGCTCGACCGAATGCTACAACCCCGAGAAAGACGAGTGGAGGAGCGTGGCGTCCATGATTACCGTCCGCAGCGGCGCGGGTGAGAGCTCAGGCACACACAGACGTCCACGTCAGTCTGATCTGATGCTCACCTACAAATCTAGAGGGCCATTATTTACATTCCCTCGTGTCGGTACAAACACGTAGCGCAAAAGGAAGAACCAATAAGGTTCATTGTTGCACTTTTGAGCTTCCACAAGAGCCATTACAGTCATTTTATGAACATTTTGGGTGAACAGACTATTAAAGAAGGGACATAAATTTAATTAAAATTCACTTCATTTGTGTCCCAAAGATGATTGAAAGCCTGATAGCACACGTACGTCACAGAGACGTCTATTTTCATTTGTGTGTTTACATCTGGAAGACGTATTTTTTAGAGTTTTTGCTCATCTGCTATACGTCAATAGGACATTTCCTGTCAGATGTCAAATAAACGTTTAGATGATGTCTTTAAGATGTAATGATTTAGAATCGAAAGACAGAATCAAAATTGAAATTGTTAAAATTGTTTTCTTGGTTTTGCTGACACCATGCTGTTAAACGTTAGTGATCACACACACACACACGGATCATTAATCCTGTTTATGATTGTTCAAACTGCATGTCTACGTGAACAAAAACATCTGTGCTGTGCGTTGTGTTCAGGTGTGTGTGCGCTGGGGAACTTCATCTACGTGATGGGCGGATACGACGGCACGAATCAGCTGAACACGGTGGAGCGCTACGACGTGGAGACGGACAGCTGGAGCTTCACATCCTCCATGAGGCACAGACGCAGCGCGCTGGGAGTGACGGCGCACCACGGGCGCATTTACGTGCTGGGTACGAGCTCATGCTTACATGAACATTAATGCGTTTGGCAGATGCTTTTATCCAAAGCGACTTAATTTAAATTCTTATCAGCTCTTGCTTTCCCTGGGAATCGAACCCATGACCTCGGCGTAGCAAGCGCAGAGAAGTAGCTCAATCTAAAGACATGTTTCTGGGGTTATTGTGAGAGATCGATCAGCTGGAGCGCGTCAAAGCCAATATGAGCACATTTACCATATTTCTAAAACTTGGTATAAACAGAGAATGTCTAATTGAAGAGAATTGGCACTGGCTGGTCACTTCCGGGTTCTGGACTGGCTGCAGTAACGCGTCTCTGTCCATGCGGGGGCGCTCACGGTCGAGTGCAGTCAATGGGGTTTCACCCCAAAAAATCCACGTGTTTTTTTAGGATGTAATTTTTTGTCAAGTAATTTGAAAGTTGCATTCAAAAGGGAGGGCTAAAATAATACACTCAGCTGAAAATTGCATTTTTAAGTTCACTTATCTGTTCTTAAAATCCGTTTAAAACTGTGATGACGTCACACAATAGCAGAATGCTAGCATGTTCTGGCCAACAACGGCCTAACGCAAGAAATCAAAAGGACTTAAGTACTCGTTCATTCGACTTTTGGCCTGTAATCTATATTGAACTTGCGGAATCAACAATAAAATCTATGTTGATTTAACGACAAGCAGGTGAAAGAGACACATTTAGCCGTTTAGCCCCATAGACTCCCATTCATTCTGCTCTCGCCCGCGATCACCCCCAGTGGAATTCTAATGTAACTGCAACCAAGATGATACACTAATAGGAAGTGCCAAGGCTCTCCGTTAGACGGGCTCTGGTATAAATATGTCAATATATACACTACCAGTCAAAAGCTTTGGATCAATAAGATTTTTTTTTTGTTTAAAAAAAAGTAGTCATTCTGCTCAGCAAGGCTGCATATATTTGATTAAAAATACAACAATAAAAACAGTTTTGGGAAATATTACTCAGTTCTCTATGTGAATATACAGTAAAATGTAATTTATTCCTGTATTTTCAGCATCATTACTCCATTCTTCAGTGTCACATCTCATTATTATCAGTGTTGAAAACCAGTCATTTACGTTTTTACATCAACAACTTTACCGGTAAATACACAGATGTGCCGTTCTCACACGCAATGGCGATCTGGCTTTTTACCGTTTTTTTTTTCCGTTCATCAGCTCCAAAATACCGGTAAGCGCTGTGATGATGTCATTAACCGGGAGTTTGAAGGCTAGTTATTTGATCACGCATGTCAGTATCGCTAGTTGTTCTCTTCATTCGCCCGGACGAGGAGACGCGCTTTAGTTTCGGTGTCACTCCGCTTTAAGACGTTAGTAAACAGTTTGATTGGCCCAAATCGCTTCTTACGTCAGTGCGTTCTGACCTTGTATGCGCTAAAAATGCTAATCTTCATTCACGCAGCGCATATACCGGTAATGTTACAACTTCCGGAACCAATCGATTGGTATGTTTTAACAGGTCCTGTTCACACGGTGATTTCCCGGCAACAAATCACACACCGGTGTGTGTGAAGGGCTAATGTTACACTTGAGCTGGTTACACTTACGTGTGTGTGAAGGACTATAAATGCTAATCTGTTTGGATGAGTACTGGAATGCATGTAACCCTGTTTCTCTCTCTCTAGGAGGGTATGATGGGAACACATTCCTGGACAGCGTGGAGAGTTTCGACCCAGAAACAGACTCGTGGACTGAGGTCACCAACATGACGTCAGGTCGTAGCGGCGTCGGAGTCGCCGTGACCATGGAGCCGTGCCAGAAGGGCCTGAGCCCGTGTCAGAAACACTAGCTCTCTCGCTCACTCACTCTCCCTCTCTTTCTTTTACACTCTTTCTCTCTGCCAATGTCATTAGCGCACAGTAAATCTGTTGTTGTGGATGATCTTCAGTCTCAGTGCAGCAGGAGATCTCTGAACGTCACACACTTCGAGACTCCTGCCTGATTAGTTCTGCTTTTGCGAGGTTAATCGCGCAGCAGACACTTCTATCGCGGATGTTTTGTAAAAGCGTTCAGTCGTGTGGACGTCTACCTCCTCCTGAGCCCAATAAAGTGCCATGACCCGCGTCAGTATGTCTGGGGTTCGAGCCGTGAGAACGGAGATGGCCAAAACACACCCTGACACTCAGTGTGACGTGACTGATTAGGCTGTCTGGATGATTTTGTATTTAGAGATGTACACGCATACAAAGTTTTTACTAATAAAATGAGATGTGGAACGTTTCCAGATTTATCGAACTGTATTCCAGCCTACAAAGGCATTAGATGCCAATGTTTTTGCTCAAATGAAAGCTGATTTTCACAGGCTGATGACACAATGTATTTGTAAAAAAAACTACTTAAGCTGCTTTTCCAGGGATTTTGTACATTGGTATATTGCATGAAGTCTGTTTTTTTATTTTATTTTATTTATTTTGAATTATTGTCCCTTTGCTATTGGATAATGCTGGCTCCTGAACTGGGGTTTGTTTTTACAAATTAAGCTTTTCGTTTTAAAAGGGATGCTTTTGTTTCTTTAAATCACTCAAAATAAAATATAAAAGATTATTTAAAGTGTGCTTTGTAATTTTTACCTCATCGAATACCTTGTACAAACATTGTATAATAAAAGCATATGTTTCTTGCACTGGCTTGTGTTGATTGGTTTCAGTCGCGCGGTGGCGACAAAACACCGAGTTACGTGCACGCGCGTTACATGCTTTGGTTTAAAAAAAAAGTGACACTTAATTTTAAGCAGGTTTAAACTGAAATATTTTGAATGGAGAAAATATATCCTCGGATTAAAATGTTAAAATGATTTAAGGTCCAATCTTATTGTCATTTCATACACATTTTTACATGAAGGATCGAAACTAAGCAAAACCCAAGATAAAAACATTACTAAAACATTAGAAACTAGAGTGCAAGTCTAAACAGCTTTGTCAATAAAAAGCATAAAAAAAAGACAATTCAAAAATAAAAACAGTGTAATAATTAGTAATAAAGACAAATTATTGTTATTAAAATGTCTAAATAAAAAACAAAACGATATTATCTATGTCTATTGCACGCAGAGTAGCATATACATTATATAAATGTCCTCACGAGAGGGTTGTCATGATATTTCACTTAATTAGAGTGGAAATTTGGCGCCAAAACTATAGCTTGTTTATCTGATGACTGTTCGCGCGCGCTGTAAACATTTCACAACGGAACGTCAGTCAGACGAAAAAGTGACGCTGAAATATGAATGCTGGATTATGAATTATGTTGCAGGGCTGTGTATAATGAGCGTTACTGTTGACAGGCTGTCTCATCTCTGACTCATTGAGTTCTCATGATGAAACTCGTGCTGGGAGGCGCTTGAACGCCCTCAAACAAACCCTGAAGAGAAACCTGTGCTGCTGAGAGTCCTTAGATGAAGGACAGAGAGTGTGAAGAGAAAGTGTGTGTGCTGAGAGTCCTTTACATGAAGGACAGAGAGTGTGTTTCAAACCCCGAGAGATGAGACGCGCTCGTGCATGTGCTGAGAAACACACGCGCTTCGCTTCGTACGCGCAGGTGAGTTTCGCTTTTCTTACGCCATATCATGTTTTTTTAATTATTATTTACAAATTTGTAAACGAAACTACCCAGAATAGAAGCTGAACATGAGTTCTCTCCGGACATCAGCTGTTTTATCCTGCACTGTAAAGAAATATTGTTGGTTTAACTTAAAATGTAAGTAAGCTGGTTGCCTTAAAATTTTAAGTTGATTGAACTGGAAAAAGTGAGTTAATACAATGAAGGAAATTAATTTAATCATCAGAAACTCAAAACAATAAGTTCTCAACTAAATAAATTATTTAAGTTGATTTGACAAAAGAATGCTCGTATTCTGAGATGACAGAAATAGTGCTTGAAAATGGTCCTAAAATCAGTAACAAATATTAATTATTGGCCTACTGTATATACGTGACTGAGAACTTCATTATTTGAAGTAGCCTATCAGTCGTATTTTGGTAACACTTTACTTACAGTAAGGTTTATTAGTTGATGCATGAACTAAAAATGAGCAAAACATTTGTTCCAGTATTTATTCATCTTTGTTAATATTAGTTAATACAGCTGTGTTAGTTCACAGTGCATTAACTAATGTTAACAAATAGGCCTACAACCTTTAGTAAATGTTGAAATTAATATGATCTAAGATCATTTTTAGTAAAGTGTAACCCTTATTGTTGCTGTTGCTAGCATTCAGAGCTGTGAAGATGATCCCTGTGAACGAGTTCAGGAACATCGTGTCGGAGCAGAACCCGCAGTTCCGGGTCCTGAAGCCCTGGTGGGACGTCCTGTCGGAGTATCTGGGCATCGCTATGCTCATGATCGGCGTGTTTGGCTGCACGGTTCAGGTACACATCTTCAGCTCACAACATGATATCATGGACGCTCGATTCTGCCACGGAGTAAACATTTAAAAAGTATTTGCAACCTTAAAAAAGAAAAAAAAAAAAGAAATCTTGCAGTTCCGAGATCTGAATCTTTTTCTGAAAACGAGTCAAAATTGCGAGATATGAACTTTAAATTCCACAGTTCTGGCTTTATTTATTGATATAAAAAATAAAAAGTAATTGCAACTTTTTATCTCACAATTCTGCCATTTTTCGTGCAATTCCGAGTTCTACTATTTTTTACTAATTCTGATAATAAGTCAAAATTGCGAGATATGACCTTAAATTTCACAGTTCTGACTTTATTTCTTGCAATAAAAAATAAAAAGTAATTGGTGTTCTGAAAATATTGAGAGATATGAACTTTATCGCTAGGTTTCACAGACAGGGCTTAGATTTTAAATCAACTTTTAGAAACATGCATTGGGAAAGAAAAAAAATATTTTAAATGACATATTTTAAGATCTGTCAGTGCAAGTTTCTTTCAGTTCAGCAGCTCAATAATGCATTTTAGTCTGGGACAAGCTTAAGCCTTGTCTGTGAAACCGGTATAAATTCTGACTTTATTTCTTGCAATAAAAAGGTTCTCAAAATTCTAGCTTGTGGATTGAGAGATTTAGGCCTGGTTTCATTGACAAGGCTTAGATTAAGACAGCTTTAGGCCTTAGTTTAATTAGAACATTTAAGTAGCTTTTATAAACGTGAAATATTTGGGACTAGACTTGAAACCGCGAGATCAACTTGCAAGTTATTAAGTCTGAATTGTGAGATAAAAAGTTGCAGTTAGCTTTTTTATTCCGTATCTTAAATTAAAATAGGCTATAAGTCAAATCACCTTTATTATACAGTGCTTTTACAACACAAAGCAGCTTTAGAGATAACAGGAAAATAATGCAACAAAGATCGTTTCCAGAAGAAAATAGCGTCACAGTCCAGTGATGGTTCATTTTTGTTGCAAAAAAGTTATTAATTGAATTAATCTATCATCCAGCTCAGTTCAGTTCTCATATAATGGTGTCAGTGCAGGCAGAATAATAATATTGTTGAATATTAAACGTCCCGATTTAAGCAAGCCAAAAGCCATAGGCAACAAAAAGCAGAAGCAAGTTTTCATGTGATCTAGTTACGTCAGATTTACTAAGAATTCAGATTTGATGATTCAAACTCTCTATGTGCCTATGCTATTATTCACGATCTGAAAAGAAAGTTCACATCAAAATGAAAACGGTCATCATTTAGTCACCCTCATGCCATTTTCTGTCGGATTTTCTCCCTTGCCTTAAACACAACAGGAACTGTTTTGAAGAATCCTTGAGCTTCCTTTTTCATTCATTGATAGTGTACTGTGAATTTTACTGCGCCTCTAAAACAAACACCATCATAAAAGTATAATAACAATCGTCCGTGTGACTCGTGCACTTTATTCGGAAGTCATATGATGCTTTGTGCGAGGAACAACTTATATTATTCAAATCAGTTACATTCACAAATGCTACATGAAGACACATGGCTTATTTTGGGGTGAACTATTCCTCACAAAAGTACACCTTTTTTTGTTATGTTTAATATGTTGAACCTCTTCAGGGGTGTTGCACACTCAACATGTTCCCCGTTCTACATGTAAACACACTATTTTGGATTCTAAATGGGGTAACGAGTCGGTAGCGCTGATAAGATTTGCTCTACAAAAGTAGTGGAACTTCATTATCAAAGGTAATTCTTTAGTTTTTCTGCATTTTGGGAAGATGATTCTCACAAAGAATCAGAGGTGGCACGTGAATGTGCACGAAGCTTCTGATCAGCAGTGTGTGCAATAAAGAGAAGATTAGACGAGCATTAGCTGATTAGATAAAGTCCTGTGAGGTGTGTTTAGCTCCTGATCTTTCCATTGTTCTTTTCATTTGCCACCAACTGCATTCGGTGCTATTCGAGTTTCGGTCAAAAAGGCCAGAAATTTTATTTTTTTTAGCAATGAAATAAATGTACTACATTTTAGTTTGATAATGTTTTTTATTTAATATTTTGGGGATATAATTTTTTTTAATACTTAATTACATTTACACTATAAACCATTTATTCACTTTTTGAGCAAATTAAATTAAATTTCCAACTTAAACTGTGTTAAATCTTGAATGCTTTGTTTAGAGCAACAGACTGAAGTTTGATCTCTTTTACAAAGACGACACTTGGCAGATTATTGCTAAAGTGAAAAAAACTTAAAGTAACGGAATTTTATGTGTATTGTTTTGAAAAATTAACAAAAATACTATTACATTTTTCGATTTCAAAATCACGAACTCTAAAACTGCTCGAAAATCAAAGCCATAAATCTAAACAAGTTGTTTTTCAAATTTGAGCTTGATATTTTAAAAAATGAGCTTTCCGTTTTTTGTTCGGCTGCAGTACCAAACGCGTCCACTAGAGGAAACTTGTCTCGCATTCATTTCCAATTCATTTTTGACGCGAGAAATACAAGTGTGACTATTTTTTACAGGACCATTTAACCTTTTCGAATCCGGTCCATGATTTTATTTGTGTGTTCATAAAACAAGTGCCAAAACCTTTACCAAGTTTCGTACCATTCCAATTAAGTAAAAAAATAAACGTAAAACCGAAGAGCACCAGAGGGTTAAATGTTCTTGATTTCAGTGTTTCATGTGTCGTCATTATTGATCCTAAGACAATCTTCATCTCTCCTCAGCTGACACAAGACAAGATATCTTGCCTGCCGAACCGACTCACGGGTCTCTCTCACGGAGACAGGGATTGCAATCACATACGGCAGCACAAGGAGAACGAGAGCCTGTGGGAATTCGCCATCACCAAACATCTCAGTCCAAACATCGTGGAGGTGTTCGGGAGGAAGAACGGCCTCGATATCCACCAGTACGAATTCGTCAACCACTTCTGCTATGAACGTGCCGTGCACTGGTATGGCAAATACTTCCCTTACCTTGTCGTCATCCACAGTATGATCTTTATGGTGGCCAGCAGCTTCTGGTTCAAGTTCCCAGGGACATCGTCTAAAATCGAGATGTTTGTGATCATACTGGGGAAATGCTTCGACTCTCCCTGGACCACAAGAGCCATCAGCGAAGTGTCCGAAGAAAGGCGGGAAGAGAGAATGGTCGTATGGAGAAAGAATACAATGACCAAATCAGACACGGGAAACGACGACGACATGGTGTCTCTAATCCGATCTTCCGTGAAGGATCAGAAATCGCCAGAAACCGCCGCGTCGCTCTTGGATAAAAAAGAGGGCGAGCAAGCAAAGGCCTTGTTCGAAAGAGTCAAGAAGTTTCGGACGCATGTTGAAGAAGCGGATCTTCTTTACCTCATGTACGTTCTTCAAACGGTGCTCAAAGTCTTTAAATTTGCTTTAATCACTATTTATAGTATCGTTTTGGTCCCGAACATCCAGATTGTGGTGATGTGTTCGGTGCCTCCAGATCTGACCGGGTTTGAGGCGTTCTGCTGCAACTACAACAAAGCACATTTGTTTTCCAAATTAGCATATTGCTACATATGCTTAGTCGGAGTTTATGGACTGCTGTGCATTTATTCACTTTACTGGCTGTTTCATCGACCACTCAAAGAGTATTCCTTTGAGGCGGTCCGCTTGGAGACGGGAATTAACGACATCCCGGATGTTAAGAATGACTTTGCGTTTCTCCTGCACCTTAGTGACCAGTACGACGGATTATACTCCAAACGCTTTGCCGTCTTCCTCTCTGAGGTGAGCGAATGCCGTTTAAGGCAGATGAACCTCAACAACGAGTGGACGGCTGGTAAACTCCGTGCTCGTATGTCGCGCAACGCGAGCGAGAGGTTGGAGCTACACTTGTTCATGCTTCCAGGTCTACCGGACACCGTCTTCGAGGTTTCGGAAGTAGAGTCGCTCAAACTGGAAATGATAAGCAACATCACGGTGCCTGGAAGCGTAACGCAGCTCACGGCCTTACAGGAGATCTCGTTGATCAACAGTCCGGCTAAGCTTCAGCTAGCGGCGCTTAATCACCTGCGCGAGCACCTAAAGGTTCTGCGTCTGACCTTTGAAGGCCCGGATCAAGTTCCCCCGTGGATGTACACCTTACAAAACCTGGAGGAGCTTCACTTAAGCGGCCCTTTAAGCAGCGAACTCTCTCGTAGTCCTTCCCTCGACACTTTACGCGAGCTCAAAAACCTGCGCGTGCTAACGTTACGTAGCAAACTAATCAAGATACCACCAAGTATTGTGGATGTTTCCAATCACCTTTTGCGATTGTGCGTTCACAATGAAGGTACGAGGCTTCAGGTTTTCCACAGCCTAAAGAAGCTGGTTAGCCTAGCCACTTTGGAGCTAACAGGCTGCTGTCTTGAGCGAATCCCAAGCGCGGTGTTTAGCCTTTCCCATCTCCAAGAGCTGGACCTTAAAGAGAACAGGCTCATCACTGTAGAAGAAATCTTGAGTTTGCAGCACTGCCGACGTTTGACGACCCTCAAACTCTGGCATAATGACATTTCCTACATCCCCGAACACGTTAGCAAACTCCGCGCGCTGGAGACGCTAGACGTCAGCTGGAATAAGATCCACAAGCTTCCACTTCGGTTGTGTTACTGCACTAAACTTCGACATCTGGATCTCTCGCACAACCAGCTGACATCGCTTCCCTTGGAGATCGGCGTCCTGCAGTGTCTCCAGTTCTTCTCGGTGGCCTTCAACTCTCTGGAGAGTCTCCCTGAAGAGCTCTTCTCCTGCAAGAGGCTGAAGGTCCTAGCGTTGGGAAATAACAGCATTTCCACCTTGTCCCCACGAATTGGGAATCTGGCTCTGCTGGTTCGGCTCGAGCTGAAGGGAAACAGGCTCGAGTCTTTGCCTGTAGAAATCGCAGACTGTCTCCTACTAAAACTACCTGCTCTGATAGTGGAAGATAGTCTGATGGACCTGCTGCCTTCGGACGTGAAGGACAGACTGAAGCACAGATAATCACAACACTGGCTCACATTCTTAGTTTTAATGGGAGTATGCTTTGAACAAATCAAACACTGTGAACCCGAAGTGAAATTAGTCAAATTAAATGAGTTAATTTCGCTCAAAAATGACTGAAAGATTTTTGTACTTCATAGAAAAAAGTGAACTCAATGGCCCAGTTTCATAGACAGGACTTAGACTAAAGTTGTTTTCTGTTTATTACATTTCATGTTATGACACTTTGAACGTTAGAGTATTCAAAGCGTCCAAAGCATCAACAAGCTTCCCCATACTTTTTGACAAGCGTCTTTGACAGGGCGGCCAGAGCTTCTAAGTTGGCGGCGGTGTGAACGTACATTAACTCACAGTTGTCAGCGCAACTCTCACCTTACTTCAGGTGGACGATGAGGCAATTTTATTCTAGAAACAAACTTCTTGGATTTATTTTCATGTTATCACTGTGAGGCTGCTTTGATACAATCTGTATTGTAAAAAGCGCTATATAAATAAAAATGACTTGACATGGCAGAAGTGCAACAATAAAAAATGCTCCACAAAAAATAAAAGCACAAAAATGACAAGGAAGCACCAAAAAATTAACATAAAGTACACAATAGTAATTATGTACACAATGACACTCAAAAACCCAGTGTTACTCAGTGTCACCAAAGTCCTTATAGGCAAGTCATGCTACTCAGCCGCCATCTTGGCTAACGTCTCCGCCGGGCAGCTATTTCAGACTAACAAGACCAGGCTCCTATCTAAATGAATGGGCAGAGAGTCAGAACTGCACTTTCACTGGGGCATAAAAACTGCTTGTATAGAAACTAATAAAATATGATGAAAAAAACCACTGAAAAAGTGTGATGACTTTGCCCCAAAATTAGGTTTAAAGCCGTTTTTCCACCACAGGTTATACTATTACTGCGCATGCGCAAGGGTTCTCTCGCTGTCTCTTGTGCGCGCGCTACTGCTCGCTCTAGATTCCGGAAGAACTGATTTGCGGTCATCAGGGAGCCCTGCGGGAGACTCCCGGAACTTCCGGGAGACTTGGGATTTCTGATATTTACACAACTAACTCAAATCTGCCGCCTTTTCAAACAGTAACGTATTTTCCGCTGTCATACTCGCAAACCTCAACTGAAACCAGAGTTTTTAGTTCCCAGCATGGATTGCGTCAGACTGCATAAGGAGAATAAATGTTGAAATAAAGTGTTATTTTGTGTGTTTTGCATTAATATAATGCGAGATGTGTTGGTGTTTAATCCTCTATATTTATGTTGGGACTTGTTGGGTTATTGAGGTAAACAATGAGCGAGGATACTGCCGTTTAAGACTTGTTTTGTACATGCAAATATTGTTGATAATCTATTTGCTAGTTATATTAGCACATGCAATTGTGTTTAGCTAACAGCTTGTTGAAAAAAAAAAGAGTAAAAATGTTAACAAAATTGAATTAGGATCTAGTTTGAGTTAACATTTTATTAAATTGCAATTAACATGTTTGTGTTGTACATGCTCTGCTAACTTAATTTTGATTGCCTCATTGCTTCAAATTTGTGGCGTTTTGCCAACGTATTAGGGTTTACAGATGTTGATGATATGAGCAATGATCAAAACTCAATGAAATTCACTGTTTACAGCAAATAAGTACACAAGCACAACTCTGCTACACACACAAGGTGGGTCCTGTGACAGTCATTGTGTGTAGCGTGAAGCAATGAACTTTCACCTGACAGACTCGACAGACTTGATCACGTCTGAAATCACATTCTCTCTTGAGTTGACACCTATTTTGAATAAGTACTTGCGTTGTGACTGCTAAAACATAGATTCTATATAGTATGAATGTGTGTGGGATGAATGAAATTCAGACGTACCATTTGTCATGTTGCCGTCGCTTCACTGCCATTCATAAATCCTCTCCCGGGGCCTCATGGGATTGAAAAGTGTCCATCATATTCACACTTCAGAATCTCGCTGGAAGGCTGTGAATTCAGACATATTTCCCTACTGTGTTGATACTGTTTTTCATCTTATATATATGATGAGATACAGACACAGAAGCCCAGTCCTGTTCCTGGAGAGTTCAGACTTCCAGCACACCTGTGTTTAATTAATTATCAAGTGTTTATGAATATGCTAATCAGCTGGTGTGTTTGATTAGTTGGACCTGAACTTTGCAGGAAAGTAGATGTCCAGAATGGAAAATCTCTCAACATGAAAATCTCTCAAAAATGACTAGTATGTTTGATTGGTGATTAGTATGTGATTAGTGGATAAGGGAAATTTATTCTTGAAGTCCCTGTGGTGAAAATCCAGCTTTTAATGTTATTTGTCTATGTGGTGTTTTATACTTAAGACAAACTATGCAAATTCATGTCAACACCATTTCTAAATCTCAAACTACCGTGTAATCAATCAGATCAACGTGTGATCATCTGCGAGTGGATCTCTGAGCTGCTGTGAGTGAGTGGAGGCGGGGCTCATTTGCATATTCTTCGAACCACATATAGTAAATGAGTCAAGGATGTCGAGTTACATTCAAGCTATTTTAAGGCATGAAGAATTTTGTGTCAAATGTCATTTTGATGATCAAATTAAGGGATACAATTATTGACTGCACTTTTATGTATAATAATATTTTGCAATAAGCAAAGTAGGGCCTATGTTTTTTCTATGCACAATCAACATCTATAAATAAAACATTTTTGTCCAATTTTTAACTTTAGCTTCAAATCAAAATTTGATTTTCAATGCCACTGAAAAGTAGATGGGCACTGTTGCACTCTGTAACATTGACACTATCAGAAATATGGTATGGTGTATATAAATATGGTATATAATATGGTGCACTGGCCATAAGAATAGATGAGAGGTAAGTGAGATTAGTGCTAGTGGATTTCTCCTGATGTTTTGAGCAGCTGTGGGCTCTTCCCCACCGAGGGTGCCATGAACACACACGAGGTCACGAGGTGTTCATGCTGAGACACTCATAATCCCAGAGCTCTGTCCCTTTAGCCTGAATTGTTTCTGTATTTCTAGTTTTAGTTTTTTCCAATAGAAGCCTATTCAAGCTCAAAATGTTCTATTGAACTAAGTTTACTCAGGCGTTTAAACGTTAACACCTGAATAGATCTGATTAGAAATGAATGCAGCTTTTCTTTATAACAACACACACACACACACACTGGAATGAAATTCTTAACAATGAAACCTTCTTTTGTGTTGTGTCTCAATGTTAGGTGTGGCTGAGCAAGTGGAAATTTCCACAGGGGTGTGTGTGTGTTTGTAATGTCAAAGCTGCTAACACTCCTTTTATCCATTAAGTACACTATTTGAAACTTTGCGAATTCACATTCAGTTCAGCCAACCACCTGAGCTATTAAAGTCATGTGACTACTGACTCATGAGCACAGGAAATGATGTCATGAAAGGATGTTATGACATCACAAGAGTCCCAATCCCTTGACTAATGACTATCCTGAGCTTTGATGTCAATGTCAGCTCATTCGAGAGCCTCCAAAGCAATATCATGACGTAGTTGTAAATTAATGTTACTTGCACAAAAATTAATTGATAGAATATGCAAATTCTTTTAGACTAACCTTAAGCCAATTAGCAGAAGCTTCAGTGAATCCCTCTACTGGCAGAAATATTAAAGAAACTTGAAGAAATATCCTCATGTCTTTAGAGGAATGGAGAGAATCAAAAGAAGTCTCTATACTCTTTTACATGTTTTCAGGGGATCATTTAGTCTTTTCTTTGATGCAGATTCATTCATAAAATCAGCAAAACAATCTCACTATAACAGACTGCATTACTTTTCTTGGTAGCAAAATGGTGGATGTCTGGGCCGACGTCTCTGCTGAAATGGGCGTGCGGTGTGATGGAGATGTATATCTCTTCAGTATATGTACAGATGAATTTGTTCTATGGATGTGTAGACACTTGTTTTTTATTATACAGAGTTTGTAAGGTTTTATTTTTTGTGCACACTGGACTTCCTCCTTTACACTAAAGATAAGTCATTCTTGTTATGCAAAGAATTTCTATAGCAAACAATTCAAAATATAATTAAAAAACACAATCAGTCCGACTTTGGTGTCTTGAAGGTCATTGTGTACAAGTAATAAAGTCTTTTGTTGTGTGTGATGAATGTTTTTGTTGTAGAAAGTGTTGATTTGAGAAATGAAGAAGTGATTGTAGTGTATTTTAGAAGATGAACTGCACAGAGTTTGGATTAAGTGCACTTAGTATCGAGAAAAGTAGGTTTTGTGTACAGGCTGAGGAACTGTAATATTCACTGTGTAGCAGGTCAAATGTCTGGTTAATGTTCATTGACTCTGCATGTGAACTAATGAACTAAAGTCATTTCAGTCTACAAGAAAATTAAGTTCAGGTCATCAGGCCTCCAAGTGTTAAGTTGGTTTTTAAAGTTAGTTATTTCAGAGGGTGATTTACTCACATACGCTAATGTGGACTTTGTTCTGTGTTCTCAAACAATCTTGTTTTATGAGTGACAGCTCTGATTGTTGGCACGATTGATGAAGTCAAGCATATAACAATTTGTTTAATCATCTACTGGTCTTTTCCGTATCAGATGTCAAGCGGTAATTGATGCATAAGAGAGAATTGCTCATTAAAATGACAAATATTGTGCGTCAGATACAGTGAAAGCTTTGCTGCTGAATGTTAGAAGTTTCCTGAGATTTTGGCTCGATTCCAGTGAGCAAACAAAACCGCCATTGTGTTTGTGTCCTCCTCTCCGAGTTGTAAACCCCCTAGAGAAACAGTCTGTCTGTTGAAAGCAAAGCTCTGTGAAAGCACAATGTTTGCCTTGTACAGTCGCACACATTCCTGCGTTGGGTAACTGTGTCCGCACAGGGTCACCTTGAGCACATACAGACACTAGACGCACCTTCACCGATGATATGAAGGCGACACTCAATAGAAACTCGTCATATGATTGTATTGTATATTTAGTGATAATATACAAATGATTGTTTCAGAACTGCTCTAATGAGTCCTGAAATAAAGTCACGTAACATGACCGAACAACATGACAATGTTGTTTTAAAATCCCCTTAGTCAATTTTTTCCGTTAAAACTCATCTTTGATCACCAAAATGACAAAAAATGTCCTTGAAAAAATGACAATATCTTGAATGTAACTCGACACCCTTGCCTCATAGTTCTATGAATATGCAAATGAGCCCCACCTCCACTCACTCACTCAGCGATCCACTGCTTGACGATCACACCTTGATCTGATTGGTTACGAGGTGGTTTGTGACGTCAGAACGCGATTTTCACCACAGGGTGACTTTAATCTACTTACGTTTGTTTTTTGTGTGAATGTTCTTGATTAGGAAAAATATGATCATCTCAGTAGCTATAGACATGACTAACAATTCAGACAAGTTCAAAGTGAGTTTTCAGTTTATTAAACACCTTAATAAATAACATTTGAAATACCACAGTAAACATAACGTTAATATACAACTCTTCAATAAATAAGTAAAATAATTTCATACAATGTTATTTACAGATGATGTTAACACTCCAACCAAACTTGCACACAAAACGTGAATTCATCAGTGCACGGATGGCAGGGAATGAATTTACAGGAATAAAAATATTAACAATTCAAGTTTCTGCACAGAAATATTTAGCAAAATACCAAAATGAAGTTATTTACATGTGTGCCTGGCAAACCCAGACATGACTGAAGGAGAGTGGCTCTCCTTGAATTCAGTGCAGGGATTTGCTCTGTGCAAAACTGGCGCTACACATTCCAGCTAATATTACGAGTTCAACTACCAACTATGGAAATATATATCAACATCCAACATATTACTATAAATTACAAAATGGTAATGTATAGTTCTTCAATTCGAACTGCTCGCCATCAGGTGCTCTAACAGCTCCACGATCTCCGGAGCGCAGGCATCCCGGGCCACGTCCAGCGGTTTGGACCCTGTGTTGTCCTGGTGGCCCAGGTTCGACAGCGGGGCCAGAAACTCCACCACGTCCCAGTTGCTCTCGCGGATGGCGATGTGGATGGGTAACGCACCGCTGTGGTCGGGAACATTGACTGAGGCGCCGTAGTCCACCAGAACTCGCACTGTGTCCAGGAACCCCGTGCGGGCCGCATCGTGCGCCGGAGTCACGCCGCAGCGGTCCTGGACGTTTGGGTCAGCACCATGGTCCAGTAACACACATGCCACACTGGTGCAGCCCATCATCATCACCTACAGCAAAACACACATCTCATTATGTGAGATATAATTTACATCTCAAAATACAACATCCCCATTATAAAGCTTGAAAGAGCCAGGATGTTATCTTATATAATTCAAATTGTGTTCGGCTGATAGAAAATCATATACACCAAGTATGGCTTTACAGGTCAAATTATAGGATCATTTTCATTTTTGGATAAAAGCAAGGACAAAAACCTATAAGCCAGCTTTACAATTCCTCTGTTTAATGATTAGCTATTCAGTTCCTGTTTGTATTCTTTAGTTTTAATTTTTGGATGTACTTTCCGCATTATTTCGATCATATTGCTCAGCAGAAAAGTAAATAACAGATGATTGACAGCGGTCTTTATGACATCATCGCAGTCAGATGGTAGAGGCGGAAAGGAAAGCGAAACAAATAACGTTAACGTAGCTCTGTGTGTAATAATAATGTGTTTTAAATGAGTAAATCACCTGTAGTGCGGTTTTCCCGAACTCATTGAGCGTGTCCGGTTCGACCCGGTGATCCTGGAGAATCCGCCGAACCGAGTCCACATTCCCCTGAGCCGCAGCCGTGCTGAGACTCTTCCCGCAGATCCCTAACCCGTCCAGAACCATCATCTGACACACCTGCGCGGACACGAACCGGTAACATAAGAGCAGATCTGAGACAAACGCGAGAAAATAATTCCGTAATGCGGAACATTAACGCGAATCTCTCTGAAGAATTGATTAAATGGTATCAAGAAACGTCAAAATGAACGTATGAGAACCTTTTAAAGGCGCTTACCTCTTCGTTGCTGTTTGTGGATTAGTGACCGTTGGCTGTTTATCTGTGTTTACACAAATACGTCAAAACAAGCATATATATATATGGTCTGTTCGCGGTTGCGCCTTTACATTGCGCGCTTCATAGACAACAGAGCTGCATGACGTCAAGCACACCTTGACCAATCAGAAACCACACACGCCAACGCGGCTGCCATAATTGGACAAAAGGGAGGAGTGCCGATAGGCGTTGCTACAGTATCGCCGTGGTAACTGCGCCAGCGGCCAATGAAAATCAAGAGCGCAGAAGGCGGGCAATTTGAGAAGAATTGTTTGTAAACTTGCGTTCATTCGCTGAGTGTCTGTGTGTGTGTGTGTGTGTTTGTAAAAAAGAGCGGGCCTTCGTGGCAGAGTCTACACAAGACCCAGTAATGTGTCATGAGGAACAACACAACAGTTAACACAGTATATCAATAATTGCAAGACAAATATATTTAATTTATTGCAAAAAGACAACATATTCCATGATTTGGTGCCAAAAGCACTTGAGAAAATACATTCGTGTGCCTGAAATGCTTGGTATGTTTACATTCAGCTTCTAATGAAATTCTGACAGGATAAAATCGACTAAAACTTTACATAAACGTCTTTTTCTTAAAAAAACAACAACAAACTCTCATGTTTCTGCAGTGCCCATTAGTTGTTTGTCCTCAGCTGATAATCTGAAAGCATACACAGATATAAATACATAAATTAATACACAAGTCATTCTGTTGACACCTGCTTCATTGCCAAACACATCTTTTTAAGAACCTGCTTTATGGGAAAATACATATAAAATATTGTAAGTGTAGGAAATTTCAGTTTTTTTTTTCTGCAATTTGTAATAAATTGAAATTATATGGCCATGCAGGAAAATATTTACTCAAATGGTCACAGAAACGATCCACTCGATGTAGCTCCTTTTCTATATGTGTATATTATTATGTTTATTTCTTTATTTTTACTTAGTTTTGTGGGTGTCTGTTAATGGTTTTTGTTTAAATGATTGATATTAATTATGTTTTACATTATTGCTTGTTAATGTGAATAAGAAAGCCTACGAAAAATAAATCATAAAAAACCCTGCTTTGTAAAAAATGTGTGCAAAACTCTTGCTCACCTCCGCTCTGTGTGATGTAGCGGACCCACGGCAGCGCCTGATAGCCACTCTTCTCAATGATCTTCATGTATCTTACCTTTCAAATAAAATACAACTTTTTATTTGCTGAGAAACAAGTTCCACAACAGATCATAAATCTTACATTAGATCTTAAACAGACTGTGTTGAAAGAACTCATGCAGATATCCCATCCTGCAAAAACATTACATTACAACAGACTGTTATATAAATATTATATTATATTATATTAGTGGTTGCGCCTTTACATTGCTCGCTTGATCGGCAATAGAGGTGCATGACGACAGGAACACTTCCACCAATCACAGGCCATACACATCAATATGGCTGCCATAATTGGACAAAAGGGAGGAGTGCTGATAAGCGTTGCTACAGTATCGCTATGGTAACTGCCCCAGCGACCAATGAGAATCTAGAGCTCTTAGATACTGTACCTTTCAAATAAAATCCAAATTTTAATTTGCTGAGACATGAGTTCCATAACCCAGGGGTGCACACAAGTTTTTCAGTCTGGTTTTCATGAGAGCACATGAGAGTCGGTTTAAGTGTAACCCAATAAATATAATTATTAAAAATAATAATAATACAATTATTGCACCTTATTTAGTTAATTATATTTTGAAATAAAAAAATTTGTATTAAATAAAAAATACAATTATTTTATAGTACACTTAAAAAAAATAATATTAACGCTAATATTTACATTTAAATTTTTTTAAATGAATTTTCAACATTTCCAAAACTAAAATCATCAAGCTTTTATTTTAGCGGCTTGAAAAAGTATATGTACTGCCAATTTCAGCACTACCGAGTGAAGCGTGTCAGTGAACGTCACAGCTTTGCGTTTTGCTGTGAAACCGGCAGATTTATTACGCATTCAGTTCAAATGTGAATTTTACACAGGATTACAGTTAGTCGATCTAAAATGCTGATTGTGCATTAACAGCTGTCGACCATGTCGGTATACAAATGAGCAGTCTGAACTTATTGCACCCCTATCCGTAACTGATCATAACGTCTTACATTAGATCTTAAACAGACTGCCAACACGGCTGCCACAATTGGACAAAAGGGAGGAGTGCTGATAGGCGTTGCTACAGTATCGCTATGGTAACTGGGCCAGCAACCAATAAGAATCAAGAGCTCTCCTCAATGATCTTCATGGACCGGTACCTTTCAAATAAAAAACAATTTTTCATTTGCTGAGACACAAGTTCCATAACTGATCATAAAGTCTTGCATTAGATCTTAAACAGACTGTGTTTAAAGAACACATGCAGATATCCCATCCTGCAAAAATTCATTTCCGGGAGACACCACCACACCCAATCGAAGAACATTGCATTAAAACAGAATATTATGTTATATTATATATTCATTTTATTAGTGTGCTGGAAGTGATGTAAAGTGTGATGAAATAATAGGAAATCCGAACACAAGTGGTCACAGGAGACGCATTTAAAACGCATTATAATTAATTTCAGGTGAAAAACGGTAATGTTACTCGGCTGACATTCGTGATCAGATCACCGAAAAGTAAACGCATCTTAATACCAGGTGGAAACAGGGCTTCTGACTCGCACGCTTAATTTCCGGGCGTCAAGGAACCATGGGAGACTCCCAGAACTTCCAGGAGAAGTGGGATGTAACATTTGGCACAAGTGTAAATACACTGATAGAAAATGCCAACACGCATTTGCCCATGCAAAGTCAAGTCTTAACACACACACACACACACTGACACACACACCTGTATGCCTGACACCGTGAAATATGGGATCTCAAACTTGACTGTAATCGGAGGTTTTCCCTCTTTCTCGTCCTTTTCCACACTTGGCAGGCCGAAGTGGGCACGCATGAGAAACTCCTTCCCACCCTGCCAATGGACACACAGAGACACAAGATCAGTTTTACAGATTCAACAAAGATCTTGAATAGAGCCAGACCGATATATCTGCAGACCGATATTAGGCATTTTCCAAACTATCGGTATCGGCAGTTATAATGGCCGATAAATTAATATTTAAAAAATAAAATAAAAACGGACGAAACACGCTTGAACCATGTCATGAGTGTTGGAGTTGTATAGTTTGTCCACCAGAGGGCACTCTACACCGTTCCTGTTGGCAACACTCGTTGAGTTGGTCACGATACATACATTGCTTGAATAACAATTAAAAGAACATCCCCATCAGTTCTCTTAACTCAAATAAGCATGAAAAAATTTGTGACTAATCATCTCCAGTTTTAAAAAATAAAAAATAAAATAAAATATCGGCCGATATATCGGAATATCGGATTTTAAAACCCCAAAATATTTGTATCAGTATCGGCTGTTAAAATCCTTTATCGGTCGGGCTCTAATCTTGAACAAAATTCTTCATAAAACAATATTGGTTACACTTTATTTTACAGTACGTGTACTTACAGTAGTAGTTAAACCCAGAAAGTGCTGGTAACGCAAGCCAACTGCATGGGTTAAGGTTAGGTTTAGGGGTAGTTCGGGGTTATAACACAGTTGTAATTGCTTTAAGAAATACACTGTATGTGCACATGGAACAGGACTGTAAAATAAAGCGCTACCACAACATCTTATGATCGAAGAGCGAAGCGTCAGTAATTGGTTTCTTACTGGGAAGGATTTAATGCTCCACACCACCCAGTTCTTTTCAGGAACGTATTTAGCATGACCTGTGCTGGTTTTAAACTTGGGGGAGTCGGCATCACTCGGCACAGGCACGCGGATCTCAACATTATTGGCTACAGACTGCTTTTTAAACTGTCCTTTAGCCTGGAATACAGAGAGAGAGGAAAGTCAGTGTACATTTGCAGAATAATGCTGTAAATATGCCTCTAAACCTTTAAATTTAGTCTTGAAAAGTTGCTATGAAGAAAGTTTTGCTGACAAACCTTCACCATGATCTCCACTCGACTGTGAGAGAACTTCTCAATAACCGACTCGATCCAGATGAGCGGCTTTACCTGCAGGTGAAGGAATGATATTGTTAATACAGAGACATAACAGTGCATGTGATCAACTATGATGATCAAAATGGTGTAATAGATGATCTCCAGACGTTGGATTGTTTAAAGTGACCATATTCTGCTACTTTAAAGGTTTTTACATTTAATTTGAAGGTCTCAAATGTTCAAAATGTTTACATGCTCATAATCTGCACTGCCGTTTCAGCTCTTTTCTCTCAGTGTCTGAAACGCTTCGATCGAAGATTGAGTCTCTAAACTCCGCCTCTCTGAGAGCTGCTCTGCTGTGATTGGTCAGAAAGCAAACGCTCATTATCATATCTGAATCTCAGCTCTTGATCACAGTGATACGAACAGTAATGATGGCGTGTGTTTAACCGTATCAATCTCAAACTGCGTCTTCTCGACGCCAACCGAACTCTTCCAGTCTCAGATTCACTACACTTATTGAGGGCGGGGCTAAGAGACGCTGTTCAGCCAATCAAGACCAGAGGCTGGAATTATGCAAATTAGTTACAAAATCGACATAGTTTTAGCAGGAAGTGAGACTGTAATTACTGACGACTCATTTCGCAATCAATTCTTTCTTTTAGGAGACTCCATTATCTGCACTTTGATCTTTGAAACTTCGCAGAGCTTTTACATTAACAAACAACTTTATTACACACTACATGAAAGGGAATATACATAAAAACATAATAGGAGGACTTTCATTTTTTTGGACAACTTCTAAGACCAAATCGAACAACAGCATTTAATAAACTCTTTACCTCAAATTACCAGTGTGTTTGAGAACAAGTTTGGTCATATAAGCACAACCAGTCAACAACTAGTTGTTCATCATAACCTCACAAACTGCTATTCTGTCAAACTCTTCCAGTCGCTTTATGGAAAAACAGCAGAAATAGGTCACCGGCGTGACCATAGAGGAAGATAAAACCAGGTGTGTGGGCGACAGAGATCAAAAAACACAATCTAAGAGGTTGAAAGCAGCGGAAATGTCCCAAAA